TATTATTTACTCACATAACAAATGCATTTACCCAAACATTTCTTAAACATTTATTCCAATGCTATTTAAACACAGAAAACAACAGTCAAGCAGCCGAACGCATCGGCACGACGAGGAATTAAACAAAAATAACCAAAGAAAATTAACAATTTCAAGTGTTAATTAACAGCCCCAACAAAGAGCGTCCTCCCCGCGGACCCGCGCCCCGGGAGTTTTGTCGCTCACCTGTGGAAGGTCCTGGCGCGGCCGTAGCGGGAGCGCAGCAGGAGGAGGGAGCAGCAGAGCAGCGCCGCGGCCGCGCCCCCCGCCAGCAGCAGCTGCCGCAGCGACGGGTGCGGGAGCCGCGGGCACCCCACGGGTGCCAGGCTGAAGTGCCACGAGGCCGGCAGCAGGCACGAGATGCTCAGCCTGCAACGCCAGACAGGGTTTGCCGTTAGTGCCCCAGGTGGCAGTTCTCAGAATTCCCTTTTGCTCTAACCCCTCAGCCTTCCCTCTTCTCGTCAGTCCCTTCCGGTTTTTACCGGTGGTTTTTCCTGCTTCTCAGGCTTCTGTTAATTGGTAAAACCCCCTCCCCCGGACTGATTAACTAATAAAATCTTATATCTAACACATCTCCATGGAGTGTAGTGCTGTGCAGAGCTGGAGGTTTGCCTTTCCCAGACTCCTTGGGATAGCACAGCTAATTGAAATTGCAGGGTTTATATATTTATATTCATATTTATTTCTATATTTCTATATATTTCTATATATTTCTATATTTCCACATGTTTATATATATATATTTCTATATATCTATCTATATTTCTATATATATCTCTATATTTCTATATATCTATCTATATTTCTATATATATCTCTATATTTCTATATATATCACTATATTTCTATATATATCACTATATTTCTATATATATCTATATTTCTATATATATCACTATATTTCTATATATATCACTATATTTCTATATATATATCACTATATTTCTATATCTATCTATATTTCTATATCTATCTATATTTCTATATCTATCTATATTTCTGCATTTCCATATCTTTCTATACATTTCTATGTTTCTATACATTTCTATATTTCCACATATTTCCATATTTCCATATATTTCTGTATACTTCTCTATTTCCATATATTTCTATATTTCTAAATACTTCTATGTATTTCTATATCCTTCTAGATTTCCATATATTTCTAGGTATTTCCATATTTATATATTTCTATATATTTTTTTATATATCTATATGGCTCAATTAACAAAGCACAGCACAAGGAATTCCTCCCTGGAAGGGTGATGGAATTCCCAGAGCATCTGTGGCTTCCCCATCCCTGGAAGTGTCCCAGGCTGGGTTGGAGCATCCTGGGATAGTGGGAGGTGTCCCTGCCCGTGGAACTGGATGATTTTAAGGTCCCTTCCAACCCAGAGCATCCCAGGATTCTGTGATCCTGTTTTCCCAGCCCTCTGTGGGTGCTGCAGGAACAGCCCTGGGCACTGGGAGTTTGCTGGGCAGGAGGAGCAGGACACAGGGAATGGCTTCCCACTGCCAGAGGGCAGGGTTAGGTGGGATATCGGGAAGGAATTCCTGGCTCTGAGGGTGGTCAGGCCCTGGAATGGAATTCCCAGAGAAGCTGTGGCTGCCCCTGGATCCCTGGAAGTGTCCAAGGCCAGAGTGGACGGGGCTTGGAACAACCTGGGCTGGTGGAAGGTGTCCCTGCCCGTGGCAGGGGGTGGCACTGGATGATTTTAAAGCCCTTCCAACCCCAACCACCCCGGGATTCCACGATGTCCTGCCCTACTCCCACCCCCGAATTCCTGATCACCCTTCGCTCCGAAGCCATCCCGGTTCCTGCGGGATTCTCACCTGCCCATCCTGGGATCAGGGCAGGCCCGAGCAGCGCTGGGAGCTCAGCGGTGGGAGCTCAGCCCGGACGGACACGGCGCATCCATCGGCCCCGGAGCCGCCTCCGCCCTGCGCCGCGGGAGAGACACACCGGGGGTCATTCCCTGCGCGGCACCGGGCACAGCCCACGGGACGGGATGGACTGGGATGGACTGGGATGGGATGGGATCCTTCCCAACCCCCCCCCTCCCAGCACTGCTGCACGTGGGGCCAGTTCGGGGCTCCCCAGGACGAGGAATCCGGGGATCTACGGGACCGAACGGGGCCATACGATGAAAGCACCGGAGCACGAGGAGGGTTAGGTGGGATACCGGGATGATTCCTTTCCCACTCCCGTTCCCGTTCCCACTCCCACCCCCATTCCCATCCCTATTCCCGTTCCCATTCCCAGCCCCATTCTCGTCGCTATTCCAATCCCATTCCCATTCCCGTTCTCACCCCCATTCCCGTTCCCATTCCATTCCCACCCCTATTCACGTCCCTATTCCCATTCCCATCCCCTTTTCCCACCTCCATGCCCATTCTCACCCCCATTCCCTTCTCAACCCCTTTCCCACCCCCATTCCCGTCCCTGTTCCCAATCCCACCCCCATTCCCGTCCCTATTCCCAATCCCACCCCCATTCCCGGTGTTTTTCCCTCCCCACGTCACCTCCCGGGCCCCTCCATGGCAACCGGCCCTCCCCCGGCGCCACTTCCGGGTGCGCGGCCGGACGTGACGCAAGCGCGCGGTGACGTCGCCCCGGCAAGGGGAAAGGGATTCCCCGGGGGCGTGGCCTCGATGGGGGCGTGGTCACATCCGAGGGGCGTAGTCACGAGGGGGCGTGGCCAAGAGGCGCCCGAGGAAAAACGGGCAAAAATCGGTAAAAACCGGGGATTTAAGCGTGGAAATGGGAACTAACGGCTAAGAACGCGTCGATATTTCGAAATAGATAAAATTTATGGCTATAAATGTGCACCGTTTTGAAACATATTAAATTTATATATATTTATGTAAATAAATATATGTCAATATTCTGTTATATATGTTTGCTGCTATAAATGTGCCAGTGTCTTTAAGTATATTAAATTTATAGCTGTGGGTGTGTCAATATTTTCAAATATAAAAATTTATGGCTGTAAATAATTCAAATAAATTTATAGCTGTGAATATTTTGGAAAATATAAACCAGTGTAGAAATACAAATATATAAATAGAAAGGTATAAATATAAGCCCAATATTAAATATAACTATATATAGGAATATAAACCCAGTGTACCAACACAGAAAAAGCAATTTATAACCATAAAACCAGAAATATTTTGGAACAGACCGTTATAAATATACAGTGATGTTGCAGCAGCTGGAATAAATATATAAATATTTAATAAGTATGGAATAAATAAATGAATTGGATTAAAAATAAGCAAGGAAAAGCCTCTCCTTGCCTGGAAATCCTCGGGCCAAGAGAGAACCCTCCCGTGTGTTGCCACTGAGTGGCAGCACAATTTGTGCCCACGCGGCTCCAGGATTCCTTTGGAGGACAGGGAAGGTTTATCCCGGCGATAACAATGGGAAATAACGGGCGCTGGATTTTGTGCGCTGGGATTTGCCTGCAGGGATCTGGGAAAGGGAAAGGAAAAGGGGGAAAGGGGAAAGGAAAAAGGGAAAGGAAAAAGGGAAAGGAAAAGGGGAAAGGAAAAAGGGAAAGGAAAAAGGGAAAGGAAAAGGGGGAAAGGAAAAAGGGAAAGGGAAAAGGGGAAAGGAAAAGGGGGAAAGGAAAAAGGGAAAGGAAAAAGGGAAAGGAAAAAGGGAAAGGAAAAAGGGAAAGGAAAAAGGGAAAGGAAAAGGGGGAAAGGAAAAAGGGAAAGGAAAAAGGGAAGGGGAAAAGGGGGAAAGGAAAAAGGGAAAGGAAAAAGGGAAAGGGAAAAGGGGAAAGGAAAAAGGGAAAGGAAAAAGGGAAAGGAAAAAGGG